CGGAAAAGACCTGACAAGAGATATTTTCGAATTAGTCATGTCCTTATGCTAATAAGTAACTTGCAAAAAAGATTTTTCTTCAACTCGTCTGCAAAAAATCTCCAGCCAAATCTATTTCGACTTCATACGTTGTCCAGTTACTATTATTGGATTTAATTTTCTGCCATTCGACACATGTAATATTGAATTTTTCATTCTTAAGTTTATTTAATTCTTTTTTTAAATTCATTTAATTTTGTTCCGTATTTAATTAATTCACCTGATTCTGTTGGAATTAAACTCTGCACTTTTTTAATGATGGCGATTTTTGTTGAAGACGATGGAATTTATCGATTTTTAATGCAGAATTAATAAATGTCATACATAAGCACGTATGAATTTGAAGCAAACAAAATTGAAGAATAATAATTTTAGTAATAAAACATTTAACGAATTACAGAACAAACTAATCATTTTAAAGTATAATTTATTTACATCCCACAAGTCGACATTTGATTTGATAATATAATTTGGCACATATAAGTAAAAGTGACATAATCAATATCAATTCCAATTTGTGCTTCAAAATGTCACTAAACTTAAAAAATGTTCATAGATCTATTGAAAATGAGAACTGATGGTGCTTATATATTATTATCGAACTATTTTTGGTCGTATATTGAGTATTTAAATGTAAGTTAGATAAAGTATTCAATCTATATCGAATTTGATGATCATGTTTATGCGTACTCTTGCCAGGACATGCACAAGAAATACCATCTTGATTGAAACATTCTTCAGTTTTTGAATTAAGAGCATTCTATGGTGTGGTGGTTGATGGTGAAGTATATTGATTAGAAAGATTAATTTCTAATTTCCATCTAACATTCTAAAAAATGAAAAATTCTGTTTAAAGATCAGCGAAAGTTTGATAATTATTTACCTTTAATTTTTTTGAAAAAAGAGATAAAAACTTACTCTAATTACTCCTTTTGGTAATCCACTTTTTTTGTCTATCAAATCAAGTGTTGCTTTTTTTCGTGCACCAGGACTCAGACTCTGACCTAATAATTTTGATGGTGAAATTATTTAATTATCATTTGCTCTTTTTTTTCTTTTTTGCTTTCTTTTTCATTTGAAGATGATGAACTTGAATCTGAGATTGACAACGATTGTAAGCGTCTATTTGCACGTTCGAGTTTACGAACAGTATCTTGCAATTCGTCATTTTCATGTTTCAATCTCACAGTATTTTGACAAGAACGTTTTTTTCCTTCGTCTGTCCTCACATCGATTGGTTTTCTTGAAAAATAGACCACACGGGTAATTTTGTTATCAAACACAAAGTAACCACATGAATTCTCATCTGAAACAGTCTCAGGTTTTATCTCGGTCGATGTGGGATGTAGTATTTGTTATAAAACGTCTATAGAATCAGAATAGAAGATTGAGAGCTCGCCGACTTGATGCCATCCCTGATCGTTGTTGGAATGAGCAACCTAATGGCACTTGTTTTCTCGACTTCCGTTGTAGACTCTACTTGTTCAAAAACATCTCAAAAATGATATGAGTCGCTGTGACATGTGGTTGCATGTGTGGATAAAGATGCAAACTAGTACGCCTCATAGTTATGGCCATACAAAAATATTCAGATTTCTCAAATTCAATTTAGGATATTTTAGTCCATAAGCACTCCTAATGGCTAAATCAAAATGAATATGAGTCCTCAGATCGTAATGACGCATTTTCACTAGAAAAAAATTGAATTTCGAAAGAGGACCTGATTTCTTTACATAATGACCTCCGCCTTTCAGGATAAAAGTAAGACCCCACTTGCTTTAGAACCCACTTGCTTAGCACAAGTGGGTAATATTTGAATTTTCTTTAGTTTATGATACATATTTTCGAACTTCTAACTCAATCACGCAAATTCACTAATCATAACATGGAACTACAGTAAAACTAAAACAACATAAAATAAATTTCAAACATAACCTCATTATTGCCAAGAGCATTTGTAAACTCGATTCTATTTTATCTTTTAGTTGAACTAATGTTGTGATTTAAGTTGACTGAATTATAAACTATTAGTACATGCTGAACATCATTACTATTTAACACTTCTTTACAGTTGAGATAATTGTTTTATTCTAGTTTTATTTATTCTATACTGTTTACATTAGTTTTGTTTTATTAAATGTTTTTCTTTCGTTAATTATATAGGTTTCTTTTTCATATATTTGTTCGATCAACAACATGCAAATTTTAAATAAATTATATTTTGAAACATTGTACTGAAAATGTCCTTCATTTTCCACACATGTGAAACAAAGTACGTAAATACGAGTTTTCATCTGTGCAGTATTCTCTCAACATCACAAAAAAAAGTTTGCATTCTCCAAACTCACTCTTTCTCATAGGGGTAATGTTATTGTACCATATTGATCTTTATGTCAATATCTATACGAAAAGAAAAAAATTTTCATTCATCTTTAGACAGCTAAATTTAGTAACTGATCTGAAACATCAAAGTTATGGGCATGTGCTGCTCGTCAAAGAAACATCATAACGTGTCAAATAAATTGACGTCGTTGCCATCGACCATAGAATCAGGTAATAAACGAAAACTCGTTTATTTGAGGATTAAAACATAAACTACTTAAATGATCCACGTTTTGTTTCTAGTGAGTCATGATGTACCTCCAACGAATACAGATCAAGGTATGTGTTGATCGTCGAAAAGTGGAGCGTCTAAACACAGGACGTTTACGTTCCAGATTCATTGGTTATCTACAGCCACAAAGAAGGGTCAACATCAAATAACGCCGATACACTTTACAATCAGACAGTCGGTACTGGAAAATATGAAATATATCAATTTACAAGCACCATACTTTTTCATTTTAGTCACACTTGTCATCAGAGGATGAATTTAAATTTCTGGAATACGAAGATATTCAAGTTGTCTTGAATTCTAATGCGATAACAGATATATTCGGTAAAACATTTCAACATTCATTTTCAACTGACACAGCACAATTGGAACTTGAATTAGCTGCCATAGTCATGAATGAAGAAGTCACAGCACCGTTACATCAGTCAGATGCTTTTGAATTGAACAAATAAAATCGGGATCGATATGCTTGAAATGTTACATCTGTAGAGCTTTGCCACGATAAAAAAGACGGGATTTTTGTCATAATAAACTTCAACAGCTGGAAAACATTGTCGTGCCTCTACATTTGTGAAGGAAAGAGTGATCATAATATTCGTATTGCTTACTATTTCTTTCGTTAACGAATGCAGTTAAAACTTCGTTTTGGTTTAAAAGATCAATTTTAAAATGTTTGATTATACCAGAACATCATTTAATCCGATGTATCTCAAGGCTTATGAATTCTCCGTTTTTGTTATCATGTTTTCTTTGCACGACGTTTATCATTACGTTTAAATGTATTGACTAAGTTTGTCGTGTTCAGTCATTTGTGACGGTGAATATCAAGATGGTGAAAATAATCTGTTCTTGTTAGAGTAGGCTTTTTAATGACAGAAGCGACACTTTCTAAAATTTTCGCTGGTTCTAAGATGTTTTTGATCGGGAAAACTTGTTATTGAACAAATTGGAAATTTGAGCAAAAATCGACAAGTGAGCTTTTTTGAATTCGAATAGTAGTAAATGTAGTCCTTGAAAAGCGCTATCGAATGGTATATAATGATCGACTAGTAATGAACTCCTTCGATGAGTAAGTTAACTTACGAACATTCACAAAAAACACCGTCAAATATGACACATCTGCAAAGATTCTTATTTCTATGTACAGACGTGCAATATTACCCTATCCAAAGCACATATTCGGAATCAGCACAACCTATTGCATCTCCTGATAATAGAAGGTACTCCTTTTGCATCTTGTACGAAACGAAAAAAGGTCTAGTAGTCTAGATTACTACGGTCCGACATGAGACAATCTCAGTGCAGTGACAGCGCTAAAAAGCGCTAAGCTTGAACAGACCTTCTAATTACATGAAAATGTTCCTCAGCCTATCGTGTATTTATGATGATCTCGTCTTTTTTTCTAAGTCGAGTTATTGATTTGACAAAAATCCATAGGGTTTTCGAGGTAATTCGCGTTTTTCTCCCCCATAAGAGCACTTTTTCCATAACATAAAGTCATATTCGGAATCACCGTGAAAAACTTCGTCGAATGATGTATAGTTTGTTAGTTTTACAAATAAAACATTTTTTGACAAAAATTCAGGGCAAGGCCTAAGGAACTTTTTGTCGAAAGAACTTTTTTCGAATTCGACCTTTTTTACTTCTGTAATATCTGACACATATTAAGACCATATTATGCTAAAATAATCATTTTCTAACTCAAAAAATCAGATGTCCGCCTGCTTTATGGGAAAATGCCCACTGTGTGATGGTAACAACATTTTAACAACAATTTCTACTCGCTGATATAAATACAACAAACAGTTTAACAACAACATTTTAACAAGTAACAAACATTTTTCTACTCGCTGATATAAATCTCTCATAATAATGCCTGAAAGTTTTAAGCTACATCCAAGATGTGGAGAGCATCATGAAAGTGTCTGTTTTATACTCTAATTTACTATTCTTTCTTTCTTTTCCCGTTTTTGTAGAGGAGTATTTCTGTGAAACATGTAAGGTGAAAGCTTTGCAAAGATCAAGTGAATTATATTTACCAATGTGTTGTATACCATTCGATAAAGAATTCAACCGAGATCACGAATATCACCACCCCAACTCCCAAAACTGTTTCGTCGCCCTCCCCCGTTGGTTTTTTTCCAGATTGAATTTTCAAGATCATGACCCCGTTGCTAATGTTTTTACCGACAATAATCGATGGACAATGTTACGTTAGGCTATGTTTACTATGAGTATTCCTTACTTCCAAACGCAGTCTATCGAATTGGTCTCACTGCTACTTTACGGTCTATAGATATATCTAGAATAAATGATACAATTTTGTTAGACTGAATAATGTTTTTCTCTCTAAGTACACCTAATTATTAAAAAATACTTCTCATTTTTTGTTATCCTCCAGACCGTGACGATATCGAAAATTTCATCATTTTTTTTTAAGGATCAAATGGACAAAATGAATCAAGCAGGAAAATATTTTTAATTCCTACTTAATCACTAGTGGTATAAACAGTCATAGTTACTCTTGGCATCAAACAAAATCATATAAAAGAGGGATTCTCTACGAAACAATGGTTGTATAGCATGAGTTTATATCAGTTTGTGTCTGAGGTTACTAGATCATCTAGTATGACGTGTTTGAATTTAGTCTTTGCCAATAATCTTAATATTATTCAACACCGTTTCTGCCGAACAAAAATTAATATCTGATCGTAATCAGAAAATAATTCAAATAAAACTAAATAAGTTAAAGCAGAAAAGATGTAACACTCAAGGTAAGACATACGATTTTCAAAAAGCTGATTGGAATTTATTATTATTTAAAATTTCAACTGTTTCATGCCAAAGAATATTAAATAATTATTCATTAGAGGATAGATTTATCGAGTTCCGAAATCTGATTTTTTATATTATTGATTCAATAATACCAAATAAATAAATTAATTTAAAATCAACTGATCAAATTGTTGTTTTACGCAATATCGTCGTAAATTATAAAACAGAAAAAGTCGACTGTACGAGAAATATAAATTAAATCAAATTAATTCTAATAAATACAAGTTCACCTACAATTCAGTTGATTCATACTGACGACAACTCCTCCATCAATTCAGTCTATAAAAATTCTAGTGAGCGTTAATCATTGATTGCATCCTTTACTAGGAGAATATGCTTTAGATCCATGGTTAACATAGTTTGAAAAAGTCATTTACTGAGCATACTGATAACAGTTGCTTGTTAGATTACTTGCAGCTAATATAATGGAAAACTTGGCATTCACTTCCAAATGTGTGGAATAGCTTGAAACACTCTTCGGTGCTTAAAATCGTACTCAGCGGTATAAACACAAATAGCCAACATATTTTTTCGACAATTCTTTCTTGCCTGAAAGGTTTTCTGAAGTTCCTTTTCATCAATCTATGCTAAACTATCTACAGATTCTTGACAAAAGTAGTCAATTTTTACCAGTTTTACAATGTATGAACAATGGGAAATACAGTAACAGGGTCGTGATGGACTACTATCTCCAAAGTAAGCATCGTAATAGTAAAACAGCATTAATCAATTCCACCTCTTAAAAATTTAAATGGAGAGCTCACTAATGATCGTGAAGACATAGCAAATCTATTAAATGATTAGTTTGCATTCAAAGGTAATACGAGTAGCAATGACGAAAGCGTGACTGTAGAATTAACAAAAAGTTCAGTATCATCCATATCTCTCCAATGGATGTTGAAAACAATATTGATTAAGCTATCACCATCTACTTGATAGAATGTAATGTTCTAGAAAAGCAGGTCTAAAAACCGCAGGTCTCTGTCTATCTTCTGTGAGAAGTTATTCAAAAAGTGGCACACCACGCTGTATTTTGGGATGGATAGTAGTATACACTATTAGATAGAGAATTTCACAGGCTACAAAATGATATATAACATAGTCAAAAGAACACAAAGCTGGGTAGTTTAAGATTCGAAATACTCGGCAACATCTCAGCAAACGCGTCGTTCATGTTTATAGTATTCATTTATTTTGTCGTTGACCATTTGACTTTATATATCGTTGGATAGAGAGTTTTCCAGGCTACAATATGGTATATAAAATTTTGGGAAAAAATGTGACTAGATATTCTAACATTAGAAATACTATTCACAACTTCAACAAATCCATAGGTCAACGTCATTCATATTATACTCAAGGTAGTCCAAAAGTAGTGATTTCAGTATTATATTACTCCACGGAAACCTTATCCCATATGTACTTGCAGTGTCAACAATGTTCTGTATTTCTTCAATGTATCATCCTTCACCATTTGCTATTGTTATATGAGAACAGTTCGTCGGAAGCTATGCACCCATGTTTTAGATGAATAAAGAAAATTTTCGTTTTTACATTAAAGTGCGTACTACACTTCATGTTGAACCAAAAGTTATTTATGACGAATTATATTCTGTTTTCGGCGACGAAGCTCCATCTCATAGTACAGTTGTAAGGTGGTCAAAGTAGTTTCGTGAAGGTGGAGAACAGATTGATGATGGACCACGATCTGGTCGATCTGTAACCAAAACAACATGCGAAGATACCGAAGAAGTTCGTGGTCTTATCAATGATGATCGCCATGTTACAATTAATGAAATACATCAGGAAACTGGTCTGAGTCCCAGTATCATCGTGCGAATTATTTCTGACCATCTGAAGCTAAAAAAAATTACCGTTCGCTGGATACAATTGGAGGCATGTAGGGTGGACTTATGACTACAAGAATTACAAATTTTGAGCTTGCGGCAAGCCCAAATTATGCACGAGATCAGATTATTGATCATCATTACCGATAAGATCTTAATAACAATCACTGGTCAAGTTACATTGAAAATAGAAACTGTAATTGAACGATCGTTGTGATTAATAAAGAAATATTATTCATGTAAACATACGTGACCCCAGTTGTTAACTAAGTGGAAAAATATTTACTCATATTTTGTCATATATTTATTTGTATATAGGAAAAAACCGCAAAAAAGGATTGATATTAGCGGCAAACATAGAACAGGAAAAAACGAATGCAATACACTGTTTAAAACTGAATCCTTAGTTTTTGAATGAAGAACTTATCTTTCGTTGTTCTTTTGAATGTTTTCCTACAAAATTAATTAATACAGTCCCAAACTGGTCGGCCGCGTATAAGCTCCCATTAGTTGATCACAATTTGGGCAATAGTGTTGATAATCCTAAAGTACGAAGTTGTAGAAGAAACCTGTTCAGGATAGTTAATCAGACAGTTTCACTATATTTACCCTCTCATATCTCATGCAACACCCGACGCACCACCTGTCGAAAAGACACTCGAAGGCACACACGAGCGCATAGAGTAAGCATCCTTTTGACGTCATTGACGATCTGACTTTAGTTTTAATTTGTGTGTTACAACGTGGGCACATCATATATACTGGAAATC